GCCGGGCTCTGCGCGAGGTTGCACACCGCGAAACTTGCTGCTTTCTAAAACCGACCGTCTGCGTCCGAATCGAATGCTCGGAAATCGACTCGCCGGCGTTCGATTCGCTGTCTCCTCCTCCCGCGAATTCGACTCGTGCTCGTTTTGATTATTTTCAATCCCGGCGCGACTCAAAGCCGACCTACATAAATCTAGCGCATCCGATTCCTCTAACGAGAATCGGCAATTACCCACGATGAATGAAACTTTTCAGGCGCTTAATTATGTGCACCTTGAAGCTGTATCCGTCAGTCGTGGAGATCAAAAGAAGCCAACAATTCACTATTTTTAATTACTCTCCTGAGAGAGAAAGCGAGAGAGAGAGAGAGATGTAGCTCGTCGGGAAAAGAGAAGAACGAGAGGGGTCATAACGCTAGCAAACAAAAATAATCCACTGAGCAGCCGGCAATGAAAAGACAAAAAGACTAGGGCGTCGAGAGGAGGGGTAGTGGGGGGGAGCAAAGCGCCGAGAGAGATAAAAGAAAGCAGCAGCAACGACAGCAGCAGCAGGCGCGCCTCTGCGTGTCTTCATTGTCAAAGGCGCCGCGGCGGTGTCTTTGTCCGTTTGATTTCGGGCTATTTTCCTCGAGCGGCCGGCAAAGAGGAAAAGCCGATGAAACCGACCCGACTGGCCACGCCTGAGTCACGACCGCGCGCGCGGCTTTGACCTTGTTGCGCTCGCGAGACGCCGTCTCGTCCGAGCGCGTCGGGTCGTCGCTGGGTTTCGCGGTCCGCGCGACCTTGTCAGCGAGATCTCGCGCGGCGCGCGCTCCGGCAAGCCCCCGGCAAGCGGCATCGAGTGCTCTACTCTCGGAAGGTAGGCAGGGGGGACGTGCATTTTCCACGCAAGGTGGATAAACGACTCGGGTCGCCCTCCGGGAGGGGAGCATTGGTCGCGCGCGTCACGTTCGAAATCCGTGACGGGCCGGGACGGCGCAGCCCTCCCTCCCAAAGGAAGCCAAATTGACGATTGCGCGTAAGTACAGTGCGGGCGAATCGACTCGGAAATGCCTAAACGCTCGCCTCGCGTAATCACACGTATCCCGCCGGGCGGCGATCCTCTCCTCGCGCGCGCTCGCACAAAAGTCGATAGCGAGAGAAAAGAAAGAAGCTCTGTAATCATTCACTGTCGCTTCGCGCCTTGTAATCATCTCTGCACTCTGCGGCGTCTTCCCGGCGGAGGAGCACGGAAAAGCCGCCGCGACCGCGCGATTAATCATCCGTCTCCCCTCGATTTAATTGACATTTCTCGAACGGCCTAATGAGCCGCGTACACGGCAGCTGGCGTCGATTGATAAGAGCGCGCCCGGGTCCTTCCTGCTCTCGGACGGCGGCGGCTTCTTTTCATCCTTTTGCACGCGTATGTTTACACGCGGACCGGGGCGGGGGGAGGCAAAGCCTGGGCCCCCACCGCTGCGCTACCTACACTCGGCGCAAATACGCGTGAAAAGAGATGAAAGGAACGAGCGCCGACGGACTGTGCGCCATTGTTGCAGCCGTCGCGCGTCAATTTGTCGCGCTGTGACGTCTTAACGCGCCCCGCTCGCGCGCGACTTTCGTTTTCGAGTGCGCCCAGTCCCGGCGATCATCAAAGAGCGCAACGGGACGCTGCCTGCCGCCGTTTCCTCGGGGATCGGCGATTAGCGCACGCGCGCCGCCTCTTCCCGAAGGGCCCCGTCGAGGATCGCCTGCGCGGCCGCTCGGAAAACGCCTCGTCGGCGACGTGGTTACCGAATAATCGAGAGAGAGAGAGCCCCGGCAGCTTGGCGGAAAAAAAAGCGTTCGATGGAACAGAGAGAGGCCCGCGGGCCATCCTACGCATTGCCAAAATAGCCCTGACACGAATGAATAAGAAAAGAAGCGCGCGGAAGGCAGACGGCCGGCGGGGACTTAAATGTTTGATTAATAATTCATCAGAACCCGCCGTATTTGGTTGTCGCTTCCTCCGCGCGCGGCGCCGTCCGTTTGAAGTTCGTGCATGCGCCTCACCTGGCTCTCTCGATCGTCGTCATTAATTTCACATTTCCCTTACAGCAATTTTTCCCGGCGCGCATTTAATTACGTCCGCGCCGCGCGCGCGTGTATACGTTGGCGCGCCTTCGAAAAACTGGTTCTCCACGCGTATAATGCCAAGGCAGAGCAGCTTATCGCGATCTCTCTCGCAGCGGAAACCATCAAAGAGTCCTTTGAAGTTTTACTCTGCTCGAAGCCTGTCCTCAGCTCTCTCTCTCCCCTCCTTTAACGCACTCGAGCTTTCAAAAAAAAAAAAAGGAAAAAATTTTACGCGCTCACCTTTAATCTCTCCCTTAAAGGCCTTCTCTCCTTTCTTCGATTTCAATGCGAATGACAAATAATCCGAGCGGAGGCCGCTGTCGGGCGGAGAACCAGAATCTCGGCGTGCGCGCTGTGTGGCTGCGTTCAACGGCGGCGGCAGCGGCAGCCGTGGCGCTTAAATGATTCACGACCGCGAGAGGCGCGACTCGGTGAATTCTTGATAACGCACTTCGATTCCTCGACCCCGCGGCAAGGAGAGAAGCCTTCCGCGGTCGCGCGAAGACGAGAGAGAAAAAAAGCAGAGAGAGCGAAAAACTCGCTCCCCGCGGGGTCCGCGCGCGAAGTCCCGTTAACGAACGACGCTATTAGTCGCGAGCGCGCGTGCTTTAACATATAATTTAAACCGTTGCGCGTACGCGTAAGCCGGGCGGGAGAGGGGGGGGGGGGGAGAAATTATAGGCGACTTAGTGCCGCCGCGGTGTTTATTATACAGGCTGAGCATTAAATCGCGCCGCATGTGTCGGCGGCGGATCAAAGGAACCGGGCCGCCTCTCTCCCCACCGCCGCTCTAATTTCACTCTTTGGTCTTTTCTCACGATAAGAGCGTTTTATCTGTCGAGCGCGGGGCGAGAAGGAAGACCGAGCGCCACCGCGCGACGCTTTGATGTTTCGCCGTCGGCGGCTAATTATTGACGGATTAACGGCGCGACCTTGCGCGGCCCGACTTTCCTCTCTCTCTCTCTCTCTCTCTCTGACGTCGCGCAATTCGCCGGCCGCGCTATCGGACGCATCTCGTCGCGCGAGACGGACGGAGCTTCCGCGGCGCGCCGCGACATAGGTCTAATTCGGCGAGTCGCGCAGACGCGCAGATGAAAGAGACCTCGCCGGCACTTGACGCAGTCGTCGTACGTAATTAATCCACCTGGAGCGTAGCGGCGGCAAAGCTCTTTGGTCTTCTTCCTGCTCCTCCTCGGCCCCCACCAACCTGCTCGCTCTCCCTCTCGCCCCGTCGTCTGTCCTCAACAGCAGCGGCACACCTGGCGCACGCGTGCAACTATATAAACGTAGGCGTGCTGCAGCCTTTGGGCTCCATTCCAAAAAGATTGAATGTGCCTCAGACAAGCGTCTCTATTCCGTTTACTTCTGCTGTCGAGACTTGGATCGGGACCAGCGCAGTTTACGCGCCTCGATGCACTCTCTCTCTCTCTCTCGCTCTCCGTGGTCTCTCGCGCGATGGAATATGTATTAGGGGAGATTGGATTTTTTTTCGCTCGATAGGAGCGACGATGACGAAACGATGCCCGTAGTGGGGAGTTGGGGACCGTGACGCAAAAATCGCTGCGGCGATTATTAAATTTTCCAGCGGTGCCCTCGCGAGCGCATCGCCGCGCGAACGCGATGATGCGCGCGAAGCTAATTGCGACTCTCTCTCTCTCTCTTTCTCTCGGCGTCGACTCGCTGATCATGAAAGTTGCGCGCGCGCGGCTTTTCCGCTACCGACGGCGTAATCTTTTGACGCCGCTCGCCATCAGCCTGTCCCGTAATATTCTCGGAATTCGCCGACATTTTTTTTTTAATTTCGTTAATTGCTGCAAACGCGCGCCGCGCTCCTCGTTTCTTTTCTTTCTCTCTTTTTATCGCTCTCGTTTTTCCATCGCGTCTTGGACGTTGCGCAAGAGACGCCACTACCTCGCGCCTGCTCGCTCGGGTGTGGGTCGCCGCACGGCCAATCGAGCGCCCTCGCTCCTCTCGATTTGTTGATCTTCGCCGATTTGCATCGATCAATCTCGCCCTCGGAATCGGAGCGCGCGCGACTAAAAATCGAGGCTTATCGTCGTTTCGATCTTCGTCGTGATGGTCGCGTTCCGTCTGTAATTATATACGTTGAGCAACGCAGCCAATCGAAGGAAAGAAAAAAAAAGGAAAGGAAGATAGAAAAAAAGAAGCAGAAGAAGAAGGAATTTCGATCAATCGTCTCGTCGGCGTCGGAGAAACCCCGAGGAATTTAAAAACTTTTTTAAAAGTCCGAACCGAGAGCAGATCGCGAGTCTCAGAAGCGCAGACGTATACCTGGTGCGCTAAGCTTTTTCTCGTGTGCACACAGCTCTCTCTCTCCCCCGTTGCTCGAAATTCGGACGAGTAGTGTGTGGTATAAGAAAACACGGCAGCGGCGGCGGCGGCGGCGGCGGCGGCGGCGGCGGCGGCGGCGTTCGTGAATGATGAAGAGTGAGAAAGAGAGAAAACAGCCGGCAAGCGCAAAGGAGAGAGAAGGACGAGGAGAGTTGGGTTCGCTGGCGACGGGAGAAAGGGAAGCGACAGCTGGTTCTCTCTCTCTCGCTCGCGCTTATGGTCAACCGTAGGCTCAGCCGCGCGCGCTGAGAGTTCAGTTGCGGCGCGATCACAGCCAGCTACGTAGAACGGCTCTCTCTCGCGCGCGCACTGTGAGAGCAGCGCGGCAGAAGGACACAAGCGTTTTTCCCCACCACCGCCGGAGATATCCGTAAGGCCTCTCTCTCTTTCTCTTTCTCTCTCTCTCTCTCTTTCTTTCTCTTTCTCTCTCTCTCTTCAGGGAATCATAAAATCGCCTTTGAAGTGGCGCCGACACAACGCCGCAGCGCCGGGGCTTTTCGGGGCGCGCGGGAGAGGGGGGAAAAGTCCGCGCGCCGAGCCGAACGGCGAGCGCGCTACGCGCTCACAGTCGTCGTGGAAAAGCCCCGCGGAGTGAGGCTCGCTTGGTGCCGCGAGAGTGCCGTGCCGCGCGAGCTAGCGCGCAAAAGTGAGGTTAGGTTGTGCGCCAGATATGTTTCCCATAAGCGGTCGGCAGCTGCGTCGGCGAAGCGCTTTGATGACGAGCCGGTAGCCACGGCGAGCGTGAGCCAGCCTCTTTGCTAATGGTCTTATATCTTGAATATGCGACCACTCGCCGTACGAGCAATTGAACGAGCCCAAGAGGTATACACACACATATCTGATTATCGAGACTTTCTTCGTTGTTGCCGTTGCTTCTTTCGTTCCTCCTTCGAATAGCCTGCCTCTTGAACGTCGCATTCCCGAGTACTAATGAGAGAGGAGAAACGCGGATTAATGAGTCTGTCGGCGAGGAAGAAGTTTCACTCGAAGCCTGGGACGGTTTATTAATAAGGTCGAAGGATTCTCTCTCCCTCTCTCTCTCTCTCTCTCTCTCTCTCTCTCTCTCTCTCTCTCTCTTTCTTATAACAAGACGGACTTTCATATTGCGCGTATACGGGCGAGAAACACAATGCCCTCGCCGACAATTTATATCCACGCCGCGCGCCTACTTCGTCGTCGACGCTTTCTCTTTTTGCCTACGAGCTCCTTCTTTTACGCTACCACGTATTTCGCTTCATTGTCTTTATTTTTTTTTACTTCGCTGGGCTGTACATTGTTCGTGTTATTGCATAACCCACGAGGACAGATTCGCGGATAATGGAGCGAGCAAAGACAAGTGGTTTTTTTCCTTCTTTTTCCTCTCCCGTTCGTCCGATTTGACGGGCAAGTCACACGTCGTCTGCCAGCTTATTACGATCTAAGCGGACGCGATAACTGCACCCATAGCGGGCGAGACCCGCACCTTCGGCTTGACTTTGATGTCGCTCCCCCTCCTCGCTCGAGCGCAGCGGCAAGTTACACATATTGTGCCGGCGCTGATTCGATTTGCATTGTTGTGTGTGCGTGCGCTCATTCATGAAAGCTCGTCGAGTACGAATTTCGAACGCGCTTTCGAAATGGAAAGGGAAAGGGGGATCGCCGTTTCTATTCGGAGATTCTTCGTGGGATCGGGAGCGATTGGAAAGGGACGTCGCGGAGCGAAAAAATTGGCCAACGCGGCGCGCAGTTCGGTCGATCGGGATTTCGAAATCGGACGGCTGGTGACGCGCACGCGCGCGCCAGGAACACCGAGTCAATTAATAACCGGGCTTCGATTTATAAATAGAAGGCGCGCGCCGTTTGATCGTCCGGAGTCTCGCCGCGTTGTTTTTTCTCCTCTCGGCGAGTATTTCGGCGACTCGCGCGCGCGCGTGCAACAGGCTCTCCGTGTCTCACTGAAAGCTCCATTGGAGGAAAGACAGCGTCGACCGTGGTCCCGAGCCGAAAGCGCAAGAAAGGGAAAAAGCCCCGCGCGACGGGACGCTCGAAACGCAAACTTGACGTCCTTTGACTTCGACGCGCTTTTGTCCGTGGGAGTATTCGGAGCCTCGTGCCACGTGCGATTCCCTCTCGATTGGGGGTTATGATTTTTCTTTGCCGCGGGACCGCTGCAGCGAGAGAGCAGCGACGACGGCGGCGATCTCGCTCTCGTGTTTTCGGCGCCGCACCCCGCTTTGTTTCTGCGCGGTGGCTTTTTCCTCCGCTCCCTTTGATCTTTCCCACTAGAGGGTTGTTATGTACGTTGGGCGGTGGCAAACCCACTAGGATCATTGATAGCAATGAGAGAGCGAGAGAGAGAGAGAGAACAGACGTGGAGGTTAAAGACTGTCAAATTTCATTTGGCTTGCGATGTTTAGCTTCGAATGAACTCTGTTTCGAAGAGGTGTCCTAATTTGATTGCACGCGGAAATTTGATAACCCGGGAGCGGGTTTCCTCTTTAATGGATTTACGTTCGAACGCGCTGCTTTCGAATCGCTGGTGCGCTCGCCCTGATCGACCTCCGCTTTTTGTGCGACACCGCCGCGTTTTTCGAATGTCCCGCTTATGCCAGCGGCAAAATTCAGGCCGCAGTCGCATTCCCGATGAGTGCGAAAATGCACGCTAAAACCGGCTTATTGCGTCGCGCGATTCCTCCGAATCGGCATTCGCGGGCGTTGGTCGGTGGGCGAAAGAATGAAAAATAATAATAATCTTCCCTAGCTAACTTTTGCCTCGCCGTCGAAATTCAAAGGATATCCGAGCGCGTTTCACGAGTCCGATGTCCGGCAGGCGCGGAAATCTTGCGACCGTGCCGCAGCACGTGCGACGACGCGATAACATAGCCGCGCGTTTCATGCCCAAGCGCGACCTCGGCGGTTTTTCATGGCGCGTTATGTGCTCGTGGCTCACTCAGCGAGCGCCACATAAATAGGAAATAGATGTCGGGGACGTGATACGCGGCGGGGACGGAGGCGGCGGGGGGCCCCAAATTGAAAGCGCCGGCCGAAATACGCGCGCGCGTCCTAGAGATCCGAGATCGGGGATACACGACGTGGGTGGTTTCCGGCACGGCGCGTACCCGACGAGTTTTCTCTCGTCCGCGGCGACCCACGCACTCAACAGAGAGAAAGAGAGAGAGAGAGAGAGAGAGAGCGCGGCTCTGGCGTCGCGCCACAGCTTCGTGACCTTCGCGCCGCGCGACAGGATAACCGGTATGAAAATTCCCCGCGCGCGGCTCGGATCAAACGAACCCGTGCGCTCGCCCGTTATCCCTCGTCTCGCTGTTGCCTCGCGATATCTCTTCCGCTGCTTCTCTCTTTCTCTCTCCTTTTATCGCCGGCTCGCGGCCTAAACTGGACGGAATGCGTTATCGCACGGCGTATCTCGCGCGTAATTTAGGCTCTTCGGTGGGGGGGGGGGGGGGGGGGGGGGGTAAGCGCCGAGCGTTTCGCGCGCTTGACCGCGAGAAACCTCCAGCGCGCGGTACTCTTTGCTCGCCGAGCGAGCTCCAATTGCAAAGCAACAGGAGTCGTGTTTACCGTGATTGAACGCTCTCTCTTTCTCTCGTGAGCGCGCGCACGCGGTTAATGCACTCCGCGTCATCGGATTCTGGAATTCGGCGTCTTATCCGAGCAACACATTGCAGACGTTTCCACGCGCGACACAGCGAAGCGAAGGGCTTTAAATAGAGCCTCTCGCCGTAGCTTCCGGTTGTCGTCGTTTTCTAGTGCTAGTCGCGGCTCCCGGCGACGAACGAGATTTGGTCTAGTTCCAAGCTCGCCTCAGCCGTCAGCTGTGCACGACCGCGGGCTTCGAATTTTGGATACGCGACCCGTCGCGCGCCAACCGACCGATAGATAGGCCAGCGCAAAAAGGTGAGCCGCGGGAAGATGGAATTTCGTCGGGACGGGTCGCTGGGTATTCGACCCGCTTGGAATCGGCGCAGCTCGGCGATCGAGAGTGCGCGCGCGCGGCCTTCCGCTCCGTTCCGAGACCGGCCAGGCCTCGTCGCTCACGTGCGTCCCGAGTCCGCTCGCGGACAAAGCGCGGCTCGTCGCGACGTGGTCGCGCGTCGCTAATAGACGAGAGCGAGCTCGCGTCGCGACAATGCCACGCGGACCGCACGCATTGTGTATCCTAGAAGCTCTGCCAGCCATACGCGGAACGACGCGCCCCTCGCCGGGCGATTCCCACGTACGAGTGGCGACGATAATCCCTCCTCTCCCCTCTGGCCCTCGTCCCTCGATAAAAGCGTCGGTGCGCGCGGGGGCTCCTGTTACGCCGAATCTCCGGATCCGCGAGCGCGTGGAGGAGCGAGGGAGAGCGGAGAAAAGGAGAGGCGAGCAGGTAGCGGTCCTTCTTGGAAGCTCGGGCTGCGCGTCGCTCGCGCGGGCGCGCACCATTTCCACGAGCGCGAACCGCCGTGGCTGGGGAAAAGCTCGGTGGGGCCGCGACGCGTCTCGAGGAATTTGGGCCTGCGGGCCTGTTGTCGCGGAGCGAGGGGGACGGGTGGGTGGATGGTGGGAGCTCGGGCCGCGCGCGCGAATTAATAAACGTTGGGCATCTCGAGCGAGGGACTCCGCAGCGCCGCGCGCCAATTAAAAGAAAGGCAGTCCCCCGAGACGCGGCGTTTAGCGCTCGTGAACGTTATTTTTCTCCTTAATGGAACTTCAAATGCGGGTCGGCACGGGATATCGTCGATCATCGCTTTCTTCTTTCTCTCTCTCTCTCTCTCTTTCTCTCTTTCCTTTCTTTGAAGGCATTGCTCCGCGCCCCTGAGCAACGCTTTGGTCGGTTTTTAGTCCCGACGCGCGCTCCTCTATCCGGGAGCCGTGGAATCGCTCCCGATCAAGCTGGAACGCCAAGCGGACGAGAGGCCTCGTCGCGTCGATCGCGGACGAGCTCGAGGAGAGCGACGCAAGGTTGGCACGCTCGCGGGCCAGTGTTGACGCTGCGTCGAGATTTCACGGTTTTGCGTGTCCCTCGGAGCGAAGCCGCGCGCGGGGACCCCATGCAGCGGCACAGAATGAGCGCCCGCGCGCGCGCGCGCACGGCCAGCCGAGCGGCTCTTCGCTCTGGGAACACCCGTTAGCATACTCGCTGCGGGGGGAAGGCCGCTCTTTTTCTGCTGGTCGGCCGAGGCGTTCCGAAAACCTGTAATTACGGACCCGCTGCACATCAAGCGGCGCCGCCGCCGCCGCCGCCAGCCTCTCCTTCGCGTGTCTCTCTCTCTCTCTCTCTCTGCCGGCGTCGCTCGCCTTGCTCCTTCTGCGTTTTTCTCCAGCTTCCCACTCTCCGCCGCCTCTCGCGGGCAATCCTGTTTGCGTCCGTCTCGCTCGCTCCGGCTTTCCTCTGTTCTCTGCCGACCCATCTCGCGCACGCTCGCCCGTTGTGTATGCCGAGCGGCGCGCGGCGGACTTCTTTTTGAGCCAGGCCGCGGCGAGCGTACCTACGCCGAGAGAGAGAGAGAGAGAAAGAGAGATGGCGGCGCGCCGCTTCTTCTTCTCCTTCTGCTTCTGCTCCGTAGCTTTGCTCTCTCGCTCCTCCGTTCCCGCGCGCTCTTTCTTGCTCCGACCGACAATGCGAAGATTAGCCGTGGAAGGAACTGGTCTCTCGCGGCTTCCCGATAGCGCGCGCGCGCCCCGCCGGGAAATCGCTCCTCGAGCGCCGGCCACTCTCGTGGGCGGATATACCACTCGCGCGGGGGCAGCTGCTCGATGGCGATTTACGACCGGCGGCGCGCGCGCGTCCGCCCTTCGTTCCGAGTATCGGAACTCGGCTCTCGCCGCCGCGACACACGATT